TATAGGACAGGTATTTACCATCTCACAAGAGTTCTTATGAAGAAATGTGATTACAGAGATTAAAAACCAATCATAAATTAAATTTATTGCCAAATAATGTCAAGGTAAAGCTACAGAAATTTTCAAAAAAGTTTACAGCAAAAAATTATAGTTGATATGGGTCGGGCACATTTAATTAAAGTTTGTATGACTGACCAGGTAGCATCCAGAAGGAATATCTAAGTCCCAGAGGTCTAGGAATAGCCTGTACCTTAGGTCAAAGTTGTAAAAAAAAAAAAAAAGATAAAAAGCTGTGCTTTTTTCTAATACTCGTATGATTTCATTATTTATGTCTATATTTTTGATTCATCAGTAATTTATTTTGATGTGAGATATGTGAAGATAGCTTTTTCTTTTCTTCTAGGCAGGAAGCCAGTTGTCTCCACTCCATTTATGTAAAACTTTTTCCCACTGGTTTGAAATCTGCCTTTGGTCATAAACTATATTCCCTCAGTGTATATGTCTTTGATTAATTTTTTAAATGGGAGAATAAATTACTGCTTATAAATGCAGCATGGTGTCAATACTCTCTCAGAAGTTGTTTGGGGTGGGAAACCTTATTGGTGGAAAACAACTGGCTTCCCTACTGTAACAGATGGGGAGAGGGGGCATGAAAATGTGTAAATACTGCACGTTTCGAGGGAGAAAGAATTAAATGTCATAGAGAGGAGAAGAGAAGTGCTTGGGGTTCAGAGAGGAGCCCAGTTGCATTCAGCTGGGACCACCATGAGAGGTTTGGTGGGGTGGGGCCTTGAAGTCTGGGCAGGTGTTGGAAGGCAGTGGTCGTCAAGCTGGGGTACCATGCCCTTGAGGGTACAAGGAGACTTTCCAAGAGGGACACATATAGATGGCTTTGAGGGTTCAATTCCCAGGTCCCTCGTCCATCTGTTCTCCTTCAGAAAACTCATCAGTGAGCACACAACACACACAATAGTCACCCTGGTCCTCATCTCCTACGTCTCCCACTAACAGGCAGCTCCCGCCCTTCCCTGCCATCATGGAGTCCTCCTCTGAAGTATAAAAGCCTTTGGTCACAGACAGAGACAATCCGGAAGGTTAAGGTATATGACCAGAAGTGCATCGCTCTGGGGCCAGGATGGTGAATTCTTTTGCAAGTTAGATCGTTTGCAATGCTTTGCTTTCAACAAAATTGAAAGAGAACCTAATTAAGTTGTCAGCTAATAGGTCATTAAAAACAATTTTTGATGATACGTTAACCATGTGCTCCTGTAGCATTCTAATTCAGAGGAAGTTCAGAGAATCGACCGATGATTCCATAACACAGTTCCTGCCAGCCCATCTACAGCTGAGATATTACAGCTCGTATCTATGTAAATGAGCCTTCCCAGTGCTTGTATTTATAAAAATGAAAAATCGGGATAGATTGGATTCTGAACTCTGTCTCATTCAAGCAATAAAAAATATTCATTCTCGGATAAGTGAACTAATTGGGAAAAAAATCCCTATCCATCAAGTTTTTTGTTTTCTATCTTGAATAATTGTTTATCATTCTACAGTAATAATAACTAAGGATAACTTAAGCCAGGAAAAAAATTAACACTTAGAGCCCTGTGGTTATTAGAAATGAAAGCAAAATTAATCCTTCTAATTTACATACACATTTTTGTGGCAGAGTGGTAGATGAGGTGATCAGTAAAAGGCTTCTAAGCATAAAAATATGTTCTATTAGGAGAAAATTCTGTGGGCAAAATGGGAATGGAAATAGAAGTTCAAGGTGAAAAGGAATGATGTAAAAATTTCAACTATCAAAGAAGAAATTGTTGGTGTATTTTTTAAGTGAATAATGGTGGGTTTAAAATTGCTGGGGTTCTTAGATTCCATTGGTGACATTAAAAGGTGATGGAAGGGTTTATTTTAAAATATAAATATTTATAATACTCCAGAAATTACATCTTTTGCAGTTATTGAAGCATTTTATATGTTTATTCAAAAAGGTGCAAAGGGGTACATAGTTTTAAAAATTATTTTAGGGAGGAGGCAAGTAAAATATTTTAAGGAGTCTGAAGTCAGGGAAGATGTTTTTCTGATGCTGGGATCCTGGTCATGTTTGTGGATCTACTGCAGAGACAAAGATTGAAGGTAGAGGAGAAAAGAGGCACAAGTGATGGAGCAGAGTTCCAGGAGAAATGTGGGCAGGGTGAAGGAAGCAAGGAAGGGTTGGGGAGAGAGAACAGAGGAGGACACTGCCTTTTCTGAGACTGGAGAGAAAGGCAGGGTCAAGATGGTGACCTTGAGCTAGAGCAGGGGGAAGTCCAGGATGTAAGTGTGGATGACTTTTCCCTTTTTTTAAGATAGAGACTAGGACAAAGACATCTTTAGAGAGTAGTGAGAAGACATCTTTGGAGACTCAGTTCTGAGGGCAAGTAGCCACCGTCTGCATGTAAGGCTGTGGGGGATGCAGCCTGGGAACATTGGAGCTGCATTATATTCTGTTTACTCCCAAATGGGTTAGGTTGGCTCATCAGAGAGGGATTAAAGGACAGCCGAGCATCAGCTGTAGGTCACATGGCATCAGCTGCTGGCATCATTGGTTGGTCTGCGTTCTCAGACATGTGGTCCACTTTAGCTTGGGAATGACGAGTGCACATGGCAGAAGAACAAAGAGGAGGCTTCATGAGGGCAGGGACTGTTGGCTTTGTTCCCTGGTTTCCTGGTTTCTTCTCTTTTTTCCACACCACTTACCACCTTCTACCATGCCATAGAATTTATTAATTGTTGATTGCCTTATGTAAGATGTATGAGGGCAGGGAGCTCTATATGTACACTGATGTATCCCAAGCCATTTAGAGCACTGCATGGCACATGGTTCGTGCTCAATAAATATCTGTTGAATAAACGTTCAATGAATGAATGAATATGTTTATGCATTATTCATTTATAATTTCCTTAATTAACAGTGATTTTCCACCTGTATGAGGGTTTATGCTGGCACAACTCTACCATATGGAAGAAAATAAGTTGAACCCCTACCTCACACCATACACAAAATAAAAATAAATTTCAGGTGGAGTAAAGACCTAAATGTAAATAATAAAACAATAAAAACCTTGGAGTAAAATCCAGGAGACCAGATGAACCATCTAGGACCAGAGGAGACCCTCTTAACTAAGACAGAAAACCCAGAAGCCATAAAAAGAAAGAGGGACACATTTGATAATATGCAAACTTGGAGAAAGTTGTGTGGTAAAAGTTAACACAAGTCAACAGATAAGTAATAGATTTGGGGGAAATATTTGAAATGCCAATAAGAGAAAATGGGTTATTTTTAATACAGGAATCAAAGGACTCTTACCAGTTGACAACAACAGAACACATTTCACAAAGAATCAGCTCTAAAAGGCCAATAAAGGAGGGACCGGCCCAGTGGCGTAGTGGTTAAGTTCACATGTTCTGCTACGGCAGCCCAGAGTTCACAGGTTTGGATCCCGGGCACGGACCTACACACGGCTTATCAAGCCATGCTGTGGCAGGTGTCCCACATATAAAGTAGAGGAAGATGGGCACGGATGTTAGCCCAGGGCCAATCCTCCTCCGCAAAAAGAGGAGGATTGGCAACAGATGTTAGCTCAGGGCTGATCTTCCTCACAAAAAAAAAAAAAAAGTCCAATAAACGAAAGAAATGATATTCAGATTACCCTGGTCAGGGAAGTAGAATTAAAGCATCAGTAAGTTATCACTTTACACCCATCTGACTGAGGAAAATTAGAAAGAGCGATGGTGTCTGTTGCTGGCAGACATGTAGGGAAAAGGTGCAGGAGTAGAACTATGAACTGTCACATCCTTGTTGAAAAGCAGTCTGATGACATCTATCAGAATTAAAAATGCAGACACCTTTTGAACTCTGTGGCTCCACTGCTGGGACTCTCATGGAAATAAAACCACTATTTTGTAGTGAGAGATGTAAATAAACAAATGTTTATTGCGCTATTGTTCCACATGGCAAAAGACTGGGAACATAAAGTGCACGTTCTTCAATAGGGAATGTTGAACACACTACAGTAGGGTCCTCACGATGGAGTGTGTGCAGCTTTTAAAAAGAAGGCATTAGCCCCACAGAAATTGGTTTGAAGGGATCACTACAAGATATTTGAGTGAGAAAAGGAACATAGAGACTATGTATATAAGGCAATTTTGGTTTTTTAAAACCAATAATGGCCAGAAAATAAAAACATGTAAACATATCGTAATAAATAACCACATAAGCATCGATAAAAATACTTAGGTTAGTTACAGGAGTTACCTGGGGAGTTCATATCCGTGAAATGGAAAGTGAGGGGAAGGGGAAGGCAAATTAAAAGGAAAAAAAATACTGCACTAAAACCCAAAAATGTATGCCATAATCCCATTTAAGTAAAATGGTGCCTGTGTGTGTAATGACATTTGAAATTAACCTACAGACCTATAGGCAAGTTAAAAAAAATGTCAGGGCAAGGTATGTAATGGGATGCTGTTTAACCAAAAAGACACCAAGAAGCTCCTATTATGCAGCTTGTAAATGTGGGCGAGGAGGGGCTGGCAGTGTCTGGGGTCTGTCGGTGTTGGACACCTGGGTGGGGCTGAAAGGGTTGTGTGGTGAGGAGATGATTAGCTTTTTCTTTATTCAGCTTGATTGTGGGGTGGGGAGAGAGAGAGAAACTGTTGACTTTGGCTGGCCTAACCTGGGAAAGGGAATTAGAATCTCTTTTTAAAATAAACCGTGATAACACTATTTAATTGGAGGGCATCATGGAAAACAAGCTTTGCATCTAAGTTTACTCCAGTTTATTGGTGTTCAAGGCTGCAGAATGTCCAGAAAATTCTATGTCTACTCAACGCCAACTCAGTATTCTATTTCTTCAGGGTCTCTAAAATAAGCATTTTTGAAATGTAAATTCTAGGGTGGAATGAACGTGTTCTGGTTTCTTCTGTCCTCCTCCCCCACCCCTCTCGCCTTCTCTCAGCACACGACGGGATCGTGATTAAGATCGAGGTGCAGACCAACGACGAGGGCTCAGAAAGTCTGGAGACGCCGGAGCCCCTGATGGGACAGGTAGAAGAACACGGCTTTCAGGACTCAGAGCTGGGGGACCCGTGTGGAGAACAGCCGGACCTGGACATGCAGGAACAGGAAAATACGCTGGAGGAGTCCACGGAAGGCTCGAGCGAGTTCAGCGAGCTCAAGCAGATGCTGGTGCAGCAAAGAAACTGCACAGGTCAGTTGGGTGGGGGAGGAGTCAGCAGGCCTGCAGGTAGGCCCTGCCTGGGGAGGGTTGTGGTTTCCTTCATGGGTGGACAGGCTGAGGGAACCCCAAGCATGGCCTCAGGTGCAGGTTTCCTGCCTCAGGATTTATAAGAATCCGTCTCCTGGCTAGGAAAGAAGGGGTCACAGCCAAGACTAGGTCAGATGAGGGCCCGAAGGGACCTCAGAAATCGTCTCTCCAACCCCCTCCTACAGGCAGAGGAGTCACATAGATTGCCCAGGGTCACACGATAGTGGCAAAGCTAGAACTTCAGTCTCCTGATGCATCCTTGACTATTCTTATGTCACACTAGAAGCCCAGCTGCCTTGAAGATTTCAACCCTTGGAGAGCGTGTTTTTCTTAAATGACCAACTGTACTGTCTTTTTCTGGGAGAATCGAGGTATCATTTTTGTTTAACTATAAAGCCTTAAGGTCACTATTCTGCACACTCTTGCTCCTTGTGAGTACAAGGAGAACAGTTAGGAACTGGGCTTACAGCAGCCTGATCCCAGGACATCTTTTGTGGTTGATTTTCTGACTCTGATCCATCTATGCAGTCCTGAAAAATGCCCTACCTGATCATCCTGGTGTATTTTTTAAATATATAATATAATAGTTATCTACTATTATGTTCAGGAGTTTTACAACTATATTCATAAGTGAAATGAACCTGAACTTTTCTTAAATCATCCTCATTTAGTTTTGGAAACAAGATTATACTAGACTTATGAAATGAACTGGGAAGCTTTTGCTCTTTTTTCCATATTCTTTAAATAATGTACAAGATAGGAATTAAGTGTGTCACTTGAAAATTCGGTAGAACTCACTTGGGTTTTAGTTTTTGTTTGGATATTTTGTTTATGTGCAAAAGAGTCATTAATCATCTTATATATTATTTATATTTAGAAATGTATCTACATCCATTTTATCTAGGTTTTTAAAAATACGTTTTTTTTTTTAATTTTTCATTTTATCTGTAGATAATTCCTTTGCAGTTTGCCTTTTTGCACTTAATAATAAAAGATCATGGACATCCTTCCTGGTCAAAAGATGTGGATCTAACTCCTTATTTTTAAATAACTGCATGATTTCAGAATTTCAGAACTCTTTTATACCATGTTGTCTTTCATAAGAGAATAGTGAAAGACATGGGCAAATTGTGAATATATGCTAAATTGGGAGCTTCATAATATAAATTCCAGATTGCCCTTTGAGCATTCCTCATTAATTCTAGTAAAACCTGAGAAAATTACTAAATAGTACTTTGTGGAATTTTGAGCCCTGAATTTTAGGGCCAGATATTTCATTCTTATTTCATTAAGAAAAAACAATTTTGATGCTCAAGGAGAGTTTAAATCTGCTAGGGTCCATATTTCCCCTCTGTCTTTCGAAAACAATCCTTATTTTCAGAATAAACACCAGGGCAAGTAGTTACCAACCTCTGAAGCTGCTTCTTCCTTCCTGATCTTGTAAGCATCATGTTCCAGGGATGTTCTGGGTCACTTCCTGCTGAGAATCCTAACAGTACCAAGGCAGCATTGTCTTATGAGTGCCCTGAGCTGGGACTCGGCACACCTGTGTTCTGATTTTAACAGTGCCATCTCCTGGGTCCAGAGGAGTAGCAGGGAGTGCTATGGCCCAGCAGTCACTAACAGACTTATAAAACATTGGCCAGGTCATGAATGCTGCCAGCTTCTGTCTCCCTGTCAGTGAGGGGATTAGACTACATGGTGTAAGCTCTGAAAAGGTCTATGATTTTACTTACTTTTTTGGAAACATCACTTGATAATCGGTGGGCTTGGATGTCCCATATCTGTGAAATGCAGATAATTCTTGCTTGACTTATAATAAGATATTGTGACTATGAAAAGAGAACAGGTGTGAAATGCTTTGAAAAAGTTCTCATTGGTTTGCTTTTAGGAATTCCACAAATGCAGGCTGTTATTGCATCTTCGATCCCACAGGTGGGCTCAGAAGAGTGACTTTCTCATGTCACACAGAGTCAGTGACTAACAATAGAGTGCCCCAATTAGCACTGTTAAGGGAGCGCCAAATAAGTACAAGGCACTTGAGAAATTCAAACAGGAGTCAGAGGCCACTCCTTTTCTCTAGGACTTCTGGTGGGCCACTGTAGAGCACGGCCTGTTTTAGGTCCTGAAGGGCCAGGCTAGAGGATGGAGGGCCGGGGAGGAGGAGGACATCCACCTGTTGGGGTGTTCATGGAACACCTACTGTGTGCGTGGCACCACACACCAGAGCTTGTGGGCAAGGCGGAGGAAATCCCTGACCCCAAGGTTGGTAGAGCCTGCCTGTGCAGGTGAGTCATCCACCTGACCTGTGCAGGTGAGATGATGCTGCATGAGAATGCTGAGCTCCTGAGTCCAGGGAAGGCACACCAGCAAGGCTGTGGGCTTGGGGAAGCTGAGTGCTGCAGGTTGGGATGGTCACGGAAGGTTTCAGGGAGAAGACAGGATTGGGGCTGGGTGTGAAATCATGGGCACAATTTGGAGACAGAGAGGAGGGTGAGTGTGAGTAAAGGCACCTGAAGGGAAATCACAGGAGTTCCGGGCAAGACCTAGACCAGTGGGGCTGAGCAGAGATCAGGGAGAGGAGACCCTGGAAGGGAAAAGGTTGAGAACTGGATGAGTCAAGACCCTTTTGATACAGGTGGTAGAAACCCAACCCTTACACAGCTTGAATGACAAAAGGGGTGTTTATCTGTTCAGATCATTGGTAGGTCCACACAGACACCAGCTTCAGGCACCCTGTATCTGGGTGCCCCCAGCCCGGAAGGGCTCTGCGGGCTGGTTTCTTTCTTCCCTGCTGGTTACTGCTCGCTAGCAGCTAGGGGAAATGGGCACAAGCAGTGTCAGCTTCCCGTCACGAAGAAGCAATCTTCCCCGCTTCCTCCACGTAAACTTCCAAGAGAGGGCTCCGACTGGCCCATTTTAGGCGTGGGGTCATTCCTGAACCGACCTCTGTGGCCAGCCCAGGGTTACATAGACACGGTGGAGTGGAAAGCAGTATTTTTCCAAAAGAAGGCATTTGGCCTGACTACATATACACGGTGTTTGTTGGTGAGGATGAAGCGATGCTTACCTACATCCAGGTTAGGGGCGCTAGGCAACAGCTGACATCTTTCTGTCTCTCTCTCTCCCTGACCGTGGAGCAGAGGGGATCGTGATCAAAACAGAGGAGCAGGAGGAGGAGGAGGAAGAGGAGGAGGAAGATGAGCTGCCGCAGCACTTGCAGTCCCTTGGGCAGCTGTCCGGGAGATACGAGGCCAGTATATACCAGACCCCGCTGCCCGGGGAGCTCTCCCCCGAAGGCGAGGAGAGCCCCCCGCCCCTGCAGCTGGGAAACCCGGCGGTGAAGAGGCTGGCGCCCCCGTCCCACGGCGACCGGCACCTGAGCGAGAACCGGGGCTCGTCGAGCCAGCAGCAGCGGAACCGCCGCGGCGAGCGGCCCTTCACCTGCATGGAGTGCGGCAAGAGCTTCCGGCTGAAGATCAACCTCATCATCCACCAGCGCAACCACATCAAGGAGGGGCCCTACGAGTGCGCCGAATGCGAGATCAGCTTCCGGCACAAGCAGCAGCTCACGCTGCACCAGCGCATCCACCGCGTCCGCGGCGGCTACGCGTCGCCCGAGCGCGGGCCCGGCTTCGCCGCCAAGCACGCGCTCAAGCCGCGCCCAAAGTCGCCCAGCTCGGGCAGCGGCGGCGGCGGCCCCAAGCCCTACAAGTGCCCCGAGTGCGACAGCAGCTTCAGCCACAAGTCGAGCCTGACCAAGCACCAGATCACGCACACGGGCGAGCGGCCCTACACGTGCCCCGAGTGCAAGAAGAGCTTCCGGCTGCACATCAGCCTGGTGATCCACCAGCGCGTGCACGCGGGCAAGCACGAGGTCTCCTTCATCTGCAGCCTGTGCGGCAAGAGCTTCAGCCGCCCGTCGCACCTGCTGCGCCACCAGCGGACTCACACGGGCGAGCGGCCCTTCAAGTGCCCCGAGTGCGAGAAGAGCTTCAGCGAGAAGTCCAAGCTCACCAACCACTGCCGCGTGCACTCGCGCGAGCGCCCGCACGCCTGCCCCGAGTGCGGCAAGAGCTTCATCCGCAAGCACCACCTGCTGGAGCACCGGCGCATCCACACGGGCGAGCGCCCCTACCACTGCGCCGAGTGCGGCAAGCGCTTCACGCAGAAGCACCACCTGCTGGAGCACCAGCGCGCGCACACGGGCGAGCGGCCCTACCCCTGCACGCACTGCGCCAAGTGCTTCCGCTACAAGCAGTCGCTCAAGTACCACCTGCGGACCCACACGGGCGAGTGAGCGCGCCCCGCCGCCGCCG